GGCCAACATGGTGTATGCTCCCGTAATGATAATGGTGAGCGATTGCTACAGCTGTGTGAAGATGCTCGCCTCTTTCTCCCGAGCACTAACTTTCGACACAGCACCCGCAGAAGCGTGACTTGGCGGCCACCAGCCTCGGGCCAACCATGGACGCAAATCGATCATATCGCGATCAGTTACTGCGGGAGAGGCTGTGTCCAAAACTGTCGCTCAATTTGGAGCACGAGCGTGAACTGTGAACACGCACTTGTCTGCGCCGACCTCCTGGTGCTTTTCAGTGGACGTCCGCAACGTCGATATGAACGGATTGACACTAGCCAGCTGGCGAAGCCAGATGTTCTGAATGTGTGCCAAAGTGCGCTGACATCTGGGCTGAGTAAGTGTCCACTAAACACCGTCGAAGATCACTGGTCGCAAATTCGTCAAACGTTACTGTTAGCAGGCATGTCTTCCTGTGGGAAAGAAAATTGCCAAACTGGACATTGGGTCTCTACATAGTCTCTGGAACTTATGGATGTTCGCCGACGGATTCCGGCTAGAAGTGAATACAATGAGGCTCGCAAAAATCTCAGGGAAACCTACGTGCTAGCCTGAAGAAAGACCGCGAAATCTGGTGGTCTCATCGTGTCTCTGAGATGGAAACAGCCGCTACCTTTGACAATCATCGTAAATTATTCCGTTTGATACGGGGAACAGGCAGCAGGGGACGTGATGTTAGCAGGACCATGCACGACGAGAGTGGACAGCCGATCCACAGCCTGTCAAGACGCTTGGAGCGTTGGACTGAACACTTTGCAAGGCAATTTAACCAACCTGAGTTATCGGTTTCTTTTTCGGGCATTGAGCGCCCTTCTCCTTGGGCCGTCTCTTTGGATCCGCCCTCACGCGCAGAAGTCGAACGTGAGATCAGGCTGTTGAAATTGCATTAGGCCGAAGGGGCAGATAGAATTCCCCCAGCCCTCTTCAAATTCGGGGGACCTGCTCTAGTAGATGATTTACACGAGTTGCTAGTGAAACTTTTGGAGCAGGAGACAGTCCCGACAGACTGGAACCGCTCCGTCATTGTCCCAATTTTCAAGGGAGGCTCCCGTTTAGAATGCGGCAATCATAGAGGGATCAGTCTGATTTCGATTGCCTCTAAATTGCTTGCCTCACTCATTCTCCACAGACTGACTGGTACTCGTGAAAGCCAGATTCGTGAAGAGCAAGCCGGATTTCGTCGAGGTCGGGGCTGCATCGACCACATCTTCACATTGCGTCAAGTGTTGGAGCACCGCCATGTTTTTTGACGACCCACCGTCGTCGTGTTTCTGGACATAAAAGGTGCCTTCGACTCAGTCGATCGATGTGCCCTTTGGGACTGTCTGCTGAGGAATGGTGTGCCTGATAAATATGTAAACATTATCAAAGCGCTGTACGCACATAGTTCGGGCAGGGTGAGGGTTTATGGCAAACTGTCGCCACCCTTCAGTATCACCAGCGGTGTGAGACAAGGTTGCCCGCTGTCACCTTTCCTCTTCAACTTCGCTACTGATGAAGTCCTGGAAACAGCGTTCGCTGGACACGACCTAGAAGGTGTGGAGCTACTTCCTGGTGAGCGACTTCTTGACTTGGAGTATGCAGACGATATTGCCCTAATCTGTGACAGCTCCCAAACATGCCAAGCAGCACTGGACCGATTAGCACTGGCTGTCAATCGTTTTGGGCTATGCTTTACTCCATCGAATTGCAAAGTACTTCTCCAAGATTTCCAGAGACCCAACCCTGCGCTAACGCTTAGTGGTGATCTGCTAGAAATCGTTCAGGAATTCAAGTACCTGGGCAGCTATATTAGCACCCGTGGGATCGAAAATGAGGTTACGAACCGTATAGCAAAAGCTCGAGGTGCTTTTGCCAATCTCCGCCACATGTGGCGCAGACGCGACATTACTCTCGCCCTGAAGGGCAGAGTTTACAACGCAGCCGTCCGTTCAGCTCTCCTATATGGTTGTGAAACCTGGCCCATCAGGTTGATAGACATAAAGAAGCTCGTCATATTCGATCATCTCTGCCTTCGCAACTTAGCTCATGTCTGGTGGGAACACCGCGTGAGCAATGAGCGTGTTCGGCGTCGCGTATTTGGTGCAGGAAGAGCGAGTGAACCGCTCAGCACCATTATATCACGCACCAGGCTCCGATGTCTGGGCCGCGTGTTGCGCATGCCAGCACACCGACTTCCGCTACGTGCGTTGTTTACGCGTTGTGTGTGTGCGGTTCGAAGAGGAGGAGGGGAGGCCAAGCGATGACTTGGTCGAGAGAGATGAGAACCCTCACTTCGAAGTTGGCGTCGGATGGTGCATCCCGACTGTCTGGCTGGGCTCCTAACGACGGTGAACACGTTTGGTTGGACACACTTGCTGATATAGCTTAGAGCCGGCCCCAATGGCGTTTGTGTTGTGAGTTCCTTTGTCCATCGCACTCCTGTTTAGCATCCCCCTCCAATCACGATCTCACTCGTTAGGCATAATATGACTCTCTTTTTACGGCACGATAGACCGCTGTTAGCTCTCCGGAACGATGTCCATCCGTTACTGGGGACTCAACCGGCATGCCACTGTTTGTTTTCCTTTTCTTGTCTTTTGTATTGCGGCACAATAGCTGAGGTGTTTTCCACCTGCAGCTAACGTGTTTAATGAATGAATGAGAGCGCGAAATAGCGACCAAAACACAGGGTATAGAACAGCCATCCGTGATGAGGTTTCATGAAAACTTGAAATACTGCAGTGGACACGATTGCCACGATACAAAAATCGCACGGAGGTCGTGCGTTGTCGTAAGCGGAATGCTTTCCAGCACCATTAACGTCCGAAGAAAGTAGAGAAGAGGACGAGAACGAACAGTACAGTGGGCACCTAGCAATTCCTCACGTTTCGGAAACAAGTGAAGTGGTTCTGGACTCCAACGGAAGTCTTTGTACTGATAAATTCTCGTATGCCGCATGCCTAACTGCGATTCCTTGTTGTGAATGCATCCTTTGCACATAGCTGACTAGTTTTGGTGACACGTGGGAGCGGGCTCTATGGTTTACTCTATCATAGCTATTCGACTAGTTGAAGCTCGATGGTTATGATGACTGTCTCGTAACCTAGTAGTTGCAAGGCTACGCTACAATGAGAAATAAGCTTTGCATGTCAATGTTCCTTGTTACTAATTCATTTTCACTTATACTAGACTAGAGCGACAAGGAAATGAATACATTTAATCATCTAACGGGATGGATCGTCTTGGAACATTGCCATTGAGCGATAGTGGACTATGGTTACCCCTAACTGGGCTGCTGAACAGCCTGTTCCAGTAGTAACATTACTGATGAATGTGAGCCAACTTAATGACCTTAACTTGAATGTGACATAGTAAAGTGTCAGCTTGTAACTTGCCTCTGCCTTTAGCTGCCCAATCTTCCACAATCGGACGATCTGATCGAATCCCGCGGTGGCTAAAATGTGCTCGACTGTCTGCTCATCTTGTTCATCGCCCGAAACCGGATGAGGACTGAATTGTGCACTGTAGACAAAGCTGGGGTGTCCCAACACTGTGCAAAATATGCCTCTCCGACTGGTTTCACCAGTAACCGCCTTACCATCGTCCGGCGTCACGTGAACTGGTGAGGACACCCCGATGGGGTTAATACCCAAATCCTTTTTAATGAAACGACCCCTCAATTGTTCGGGTGGAAGCCACCACACACGAACTGTCCCGTCTGCGGATGCAGAAGCCAGGAGCCATGCAGTCATTTGACCGGGGCTTTTGGAATCACGATTCACCTGACTGATTATGGGAGTTGGCGACCAGTCGACAGAGTAAACGATCTTCGTATGTCCCGCGAGTTGCAGGTGAGGAGTGGCTGACTGTACACGAAACGGATGCTGGAAAAAGAACAATTAAAAATTCGACAGTACTGAATAAGATGTAATTTAATGCTGGTAATGATACGTCGGACACATCCTACCGGTGGGTAAAGTGCAACATTCGTGTATTGCGGATAAAAAAGCACATGTCTAACAAGTCCCATAGGATCGCCAGAATGAGAACGACAAAAATGACGAAAAGAAAACGCAGTGGGAAAAAGTGCATTGGTGGACTTACCGTGGTGTTTACATTGAGGCATGCGTAAAAGAGCCTGTTTCGACTGTATCGTCAACCAAATTCTTGGGCCCAAAAGCCAGTCCACCACGCAATGGGAAGGTGGTAATGATTTAGTTATACCGCAATGTGCGCTATCCCATTTTTAACTCCAACCTAGACGACTAAGAAGCTAAGTTTGTCTGACCCGTAACCATCGATCAACCTGGTAGGAGCAGGTCTCAAAGGGCCCGTGCGCACTACCCAGGGTAGGTCAATGCGTCAAAGAGGTATGCAAACCGTCGCACCGCAACAATGTTGCGAAGCATTCCTGGTGTCGGGTGGCACCAGAGTTGCAACGAAGATGTGCGTAGACGAGTGCTAGGCAATGATAGTCAGCTTAGTTCCTTAAAACAACGGAATACACAGAATAAGTTGCGTTGGCTTGGGTACGTACTAAGTATGTCTGGTCACCGCTTACTGACGAAAGCTTTGTTTTGTCTGCCTGATGCAGAGTGGTGCAAGATTCGAGGTGGACAGCAGTTGACTTGGCAGCGTGAAATGAAGTCGCTGACGACCAAACTGGGTGCCGTTGGTCCGTCTCGCCTTCCGGGCTGGAGTCCACGTGACTCGCCTTGCCTCGAGACTTTACAGGACATGGCTAGCAACCGACACCAGTGGCGCGCCTGCTGCCGTCTCCTAATCGGATTGCCTGTTTAAAGTGTGTTTGGTGTTGTGTTATCTGCGGGGGGTAATGGCTGAGTATGACGCGTGGCAGTGAAAGCCGCAAGGAAGCTGTCTCGTCGATGCCGCCTTATCTTTGCACGATAGCCAGCTGTTTGTGACGGTATGTTGTCTACACAAGGTGTAGGCGCCTTGACCCTGAATGTTTGTTTAGGGCATGAAGGTTTTCAGGTAAGTCCTTCTTCTCTCCCTCCTGTTATTCTTTATTCCATAGTTCATCATGGTTGTATAACAGCGAAGCGTCAGTTCAAATGATTGATGTACTACTGGTGATGATGATGATGATTATGATTCGATTGAGTAGGTGCACAGTTTTCGCGTTATATCGTATGTCGATACACAGAGGTAACATTACCTAATGTAGATGGCTTAGGGACCGTAGCCTAGAGCTAACGACCTTGTCTCGTAATCTTGCGGTTCGGGTTCGGATCAGCGTACGGTTGGGCGTCCTCGCGGTGTACTCAGCCCGTGTGCAACTGTGGCTGGTCGAAAGGCAGCGAAGCGCCATTGCGGCGTACAGCTGACACATTATCCTATTATTGGGGTGCAAAAATATTATTATGTTGTAGGGGTTCCAAGGCTGACACACACGGAGTAAACGTTTCGGCAACATTGTATCCTGCCATATTGAGTTGGCAAGTTGAGGTGACGGCACCTCGAATTAGTGTTATGACCAACTAGCTATGGGTTGAAGGTCTTCTAAAGCTGGTAAGCCATTAGTAGGAACCAATTATGCGCCGATACCGCCCGTTTTACAATCTTAGAGTCCTCAGCCTGTTGTTACGGAAAGTGGGACGATCCGTTGACGTGCTTGGTGGGTCTTCCCTGTGGCCTCTCCAGCGTTGCAAGATCTTACTTAAACTAGGGCTATCAGGCCTCTATAGCGTATTCCACGTGACGCCGAACGTCTGCGTTAAGAATCTATGACAGACAGCTTGATCAAAGCACCCGTGTTACTCCCCAGTATTGGACGCCTTCTCATATTGATCTGGACAAGCGATGTCAGCTTGAATTAATACCCCAAATTCACGCTTTTAGGTGACGGCTTGCGAGACTTCATCTCCAAGATTGTACATGATATTCGGCCGCCTCGGGAGCTGCTACTGACTGTTGATGTTACAGAGACTACCGTCGTCGTCACGATGTTAGGTTTATGGTGATGATTATTCTAGAATCAAAACGAAGCTTAGGCCGCAAATTGAATAGTTGTTATTAACAGACGAACCTTCATGTTATACTGTATATAAATTGGAATCACTATATTATTGTATATGTTGGAATCACCTGAAATAAGACCGTAGCTGTAAGGCAAGAGTAGGAATTTTATCAGTGTCACTATAAAGCGGAAATCTATCTATGGAGTGGACAGTGTGGGGAGATAAACAACTACCATGAAACACTTTTCATTGTATCTGAGACAAAAACGCTACCATAACCAATCCGTAACCCGCGTCTCCGGATCATCCAGTGGTTCACATTGCAAGCTGCTGCGATGATACACAATTACGCCCTTTCAACTGCCGGTGTAATCGTTTCGGAACAGGGACATACCTTGATTCGTTATTTTGGAATTCATAACCACTGAGCACGCCCAAGTGACGGGTATGAGAATGAGAAATCAGGCGTTTTTGTTTCCTGACGCAACCGAGGCTCAGGAATTTTGCTGACAAGGTCTTGGACACTTGTGCGCATGCAAGAAAGACGTTCGGTGCTCAGCAGCGAATGGAAATAATCTGTGGCTCGGATAAGAGATTGGGCGACCATTGCATGGTCGGTCGCTAGAAGTTTTTGGTCATATTATCGGTGATTCACTTGGGGTTGGTTTCGGCAGCATGGTATTTAGCCAACCCCCTCTGACCATGCAATCTGCACAGTGCCTGACGTGTGACTACAGGAATGTACAGGAAGATTCTTACTTTTTGCAGACATGCTACCAGGGTGTGGTATGAATGGGGTTCCCGTTTCCTTTACCAGTTGAAATAACGATTTGAGTCGTTTCCAGAGGATACCAGATCGTTCAACTCCGAATGGAGAAATGCAAACAATTTAACTACCAGTAGAACAAATAGGTGTGTTCAATCATAGCTCAGCAGTGGTTTTATAACCATCGCCATTCAGTTATATATATATATATATATATATATATATATATATATATATATATATAGGCGAGAGAGCCTATGGTGCGCTGAGGCTGGTGGTGGTTAGATCCTGACAGATGGTCTACCCACTGCTGCTACTGTTGCGCCATAGTCTCATGTGCTGGGCGCCTCCACCTGGCGACCGCTGGGTGGGAGTTGGGTTTCGCCCTTCTCCCTGCTATGATCCAGGACACCAATCCGCATGAGCCGGCTAACTGACCATGTGCTAGACCCGCTGCCTTTCGGGTGTATATTTAATCGAAGGCTTTGGCTGAGGACCCGAGTCGTTCTCCTGTCAGGATTGGGCGCCCTGGCAGTATCCTAGTCCATCCTGTTCGGAGGTTAGGAAGTGGTCGATGGCCCACTTCCCGTAAAACCTAGCCATGGGAGACAACAGGTTTACGGGTTATAAACTCACAGCTCGATTGGCGTAGAGCATGAGCGCCACGCATTGTCTCTGACGGTGGGAGGACACCTCCGGGTGTTCAATGGTTTGCTACTGCCCGCCTTAAGCCAGACAGCCCCTGGTCAAATTGGTGCAAACCCGCCAAAAAGCCACCTGCGTCTGGTCGTGGTCGCAGGTGCGTATCCTACTACGGTCGCAAAACATATAATAATTGTTTCAGTACCTCAAAGGCTGCGTGTGACGGCCGTCAAGCAGATCCCCATCTGTCTCTGCAATCACATTCCCGAGCTGGATCTGCTCCCCACTGCCTTGTGGGTCAGGCTACTGAGCCAAAGGCTCCGGGTGGAGTCCCTCAAGCAAACCTCTAAATCACCCACTGCCTTGTGGGTCAGGCTATTGAGCCAAAGGCTCCGGGTGGAGTCCCTCAAGCAAACCTCCGAAACACAACGACCACCTCGCGTGCGATTGCCCACCAATGCAATCGTAGGCCTGCGCGCAAAACACTCAGCATCGGGTGCGGGAACGTGCGCGCACTACTGGACCGGGACTCCAGCGAGCGCCCGGAGCGACGCACTGCATTGGTCGCGATGGAGCTGGCGCGCTACCACATCGATATTGCGGCGCTCAGTGAAACTCTGCTCGCTGAGCAAGGTAAGTTGCATGAAGCAAGTGCTGGCTACACATTCTACTGGGTGGGCAAGGCCGCCTCAGCTCCACGTGAACATGGGGTCGGAGTTACAATCTCCGATCGCGTCCATGGCCAGCTGGTGGGTGAACCAACAGACATCAGCGCGCGACTGAGAACTGCTCGCCCCACGACTCTGGAGAGGTAACTCTGCCACCGTTATAAGCACGTACGGTGTTATCCGGATGACACGCGTGATCCTTTCTACACTAAGCTATCCTCCGTGATACGCTCTGCGCCGAGGAGTGAGCGACTATTTCTGTTGGGTGATTTCAACGCGCGCGTTGGGCGTGATGCATCGGTGTGGACAGATGTTATCGGTTCGCATGGCATTGGTTCAACGAATCCGTGCAATGACAGGCTGTTTTCACTGTGTGTCACTCACGGCCTGACGATCATGAACACTCGGTTTGCACTGAGTGCGAATGATATAGCAACCTGGACAAACCCACAGAGCAGTCACGCTCACCTGCTCGACTATGTCATCGTACGTCAGCGTGCTATCCGTGAAGTGCGCATGACACGTGTGCTGCGTGCAGCTGAGTGAGGCACTGATCATAACTTGGTGCGGATCAAACTGTATGTATATTTTGGTAAATCTATATATTGAGCTCCCGCCGTAAATTGGCGTAAATTTAACATTCTCTGCCTCAGTACTGGGGCGAAACGTACTGAGCTGGAGAAGGCGATGGCTGCACGCCTGTGTGATGTGGACTGCATAGCTACAGTGGGCGATCTGTGGCACCACATCCGCAACCAGGTGACAGCTGCTGTCGAGGAGACCATCGGGCGCCCAAACTGTAAGCGGCGTGATTGGTTTGATGAGAACAATGCGACGATTGGCGCATTGGTGTCAGAGAAGAATGCAGCAATTGCTGCACATGTGGCAGACACCAGTGACTCGGGGAAGAAGAGTCAGTTTCGCGAACTTCGACGGCGACTGACCCGAGAGCTCCGTCGCATTGAAAATGCATGGTGGACGGAGAAGGCGAAGCAGATGGAATGCTACGCCGAACGCCGCCAACACAAGGAATTCTTTGACTCCTTGAAGGCGGTGTATGGACCGAGGTTCGAGTCGCTGAGGACGCTGATGGATGGTAGTTCAGGTGCTACCTGTACACAGACTGCAGACATAATGCAGATCTGGCGGAAACACTTTGACTGTCTCTTGAACAACCGTTCAGAGATCGACTGGCCTACATTGAACTGCCTGAAGCAGCACGATGTGAAGGCGGATCTGGCGGATACGCCGACACTGGATGAGACGCAGAGAGCACTTGCTCAGCTGCGAAACGGCAAATGTGCCGGAGCCGACGGGATCCAGCCTGAAGTATTGAAACACGGCGGACCCGCGTTGTTGACTGCGCTGCACCACTTGGTGCAGCGTGTATGGATTGAGGAGGAGGTGCCTCCTGAGCTGAAGGATGCCGTTGTGCTACCACTGTACAAGGGCAAAGGGAGCAAGCAATGTTGCACGAATTATCGTGGCATCAACTTGCTGAGTTGTGTGGGCAAAGTGATTGCCCGAATCCTGCTCAACCGCCTCGTCAGTCAGGTTGTGGAACCTAACGTGGCGGAAGAGCAGTGTGGATTCCGTTCGGGTCGCTGCACTATAGAGATGGTGTTTGTGGCTCGTCAGTTGCAAGAGAAGTGCAGAGAACGACACCAGCCGTTGTACTCGCTTTTTGTTGATTTCACCAAAGCATTTGATACGGTGAACCGCGAAGCATTGTGGATGGTGTTGGGTAAGTTTGGTTGCCCGCGTAAATTTGTAAGTTTAATTGAATGTCTGCACAGTGGTATGCGAGCGAGGGTGCAGCTGAGTGGAGATACCTCGGATGAGTTTGCAGTTGTCTCTGGTGTGAAGCAAGGCTGTGTCTTAGCTCCTGCCCTGTTTAATATATATCTTCATGCAATGTGGTCTTGTGCTTTTGATGCTGCTTGTGCTTACGGTGTTCGTGTGGAGCACCGTATTGATGGTGGGTTGCAGAACATCCGTCGTTTCGGTGCGAGAACTCTAGTCTGTGAGACAACTATCCGTATGTTGCTGTTTGCTGACGACTGTGCGTTGTTTTCACACATCGCGGATGAGTTGCAGCACATGACTAGTGCTCTGGCTTCGACAGCGGCAAAATTTGGGCTCACCATCAACACAAGCAAAACTGTCTGTCTCTTCCAGCCTTCACCGGAGTTGCAATCTTCAATATTGCCGCAAATCAACATTGGTGCTGAAGTATTGGAAACCACCTCCCGCTTCAGCTACCTTGGTAGTGTGATGTCGACTGATCAGCAGCTACACGTTGGGTTGGGTATTCGCGTGTTGAAGGCAGCAGCGGCATTCGGGAAGCTTGAGTACCGAGTGTGGAACAACCATCAGCTTAGCATTGGCACGAAGCTGATGGTGTACAAATCCATGGTACTGTCCGTTCTTCTATACGGCAGTGAAACGTGGACGATGTACCGTCGGGATGTGCGATATCTCGAGCGGTTCCATCAGAAGTGTCTGCGACGAATTTTGCGCATCGGTTGGGGCTTCAGATTTGCAGACACGGAAGTGTTGCGCCGAAGTGGAATGTATGCAGTGGACTGCATACTTTTACTGAGACACCTGAGATGGCTCGGTCATGTGTGGCGTATGGATTCGGCGCGGATACCGAAACAACCCTTACGCAGTCAGCTGAGTATTGGGAGCGGCATGTGGGGAAACCAAAGTTACGTTACCAGGACATGATTAAAGTGATCATCACACGTTCTAATCTTGATTGCAGATCATGGGAATAGAAGGCGGTCGATCGGCGCGTATGGCGCGATCTCATCACGAAGGCAGTTGCTGAAGGGCGGGAGAAAGACCTCATGCATGCAGAGAAGAAGCGGCAAGTGCGGAAGCGGCAAGCACCGGTGGATTGTAGTTCATCGACATCGAGTGCATGGTGCTGTAGAACATGCGGTCGCAAGTGCCTTAGTCAGGCAGGCCTAGTGAGCCATGAGCGAGGCCACTCGGGACTACTACCGAAGCGCCGACGGGTTCTGCAGAGAACGTAGGCAGAACCGGCGCAGCGTTTGTAGGTACGCTGCATTCGATTTACTAACAGCGTGCTTGCATGCTAAGTCTCTCTATTTCAGGTGGTGGGTTTTCAATTTTGCACTAATGCTTTTCTTTCTCATATAAATGCCTAGTTATATTCTCTTCTATACACTTGCACACGTCGCTTACGCCACTTGTAGTTATTTCGATAACATTTTCGTGTTTGTAGCATTTCCGTAAAATTAACCTCCTGACCTCGTGAACTTACCTCGTATTCTTTTATAAACGTATTCTTTTGTAAACAACTTATTTCATATGCTCACTGATTTAAGATTTATGTCACTGTTTGCTTGCTTGCTAACTCTGTTTATTTCAGGTGGTGGGTTTTCAATTTTGTCCCAATGCTTTGCTTTCTCATATAAATGTCTACCTGTACTCTCTTCTTTAAACTTGCACACGTCACTTAAGCCAATACTAGTCCTTTTCGAAAACATTTTTGTGTTCGTGGCATTTCCGTAAAGTATACTTTCTGACCTCGTGAACTTATCTCGCATTCTTCTGTAAACAATTTACTTCAGATGCTCATTAATTTAAGATATATGTCACCCTTTCCTTATGCATTACTCGATTTATTTTCTTTGTTATCTTTCTCTCAAGTGATTGGCTGTTGCTTGATATCCCCGGTAAGGTTGCGCTTGATGTGCATGCTGACAAGGTGCCTACCTGTCTATTACCCACTACCTCGTCCATACTGGCTCCAGGAGGGGACAGGGTGCGCGGTCCTTGTGGCCGTGTTAGGATCAAAGAGTGGTTCCATGCAGTCAGTGTGGAGCGAACTACGGTCCAGCCACCGCCTTGTGTGCGATTGATTCCCCAAATACAGCGTGCTTGTGTTTGCCTGTGAATGAGTGTGGGCCGGCTCCGTTGTTGAAACATTGTTCCCATCCGCATGCCTCCCGGTCTTATTCCTTCGGGTTTACACTGGATATGGGGTGTGTGGTTGGAGCTGTGGGTGGTGCAGCGCAAGCCACCCATGGTCCCTCTGTAGGCGCAGGCGTCCTGTGGCTGGCCACAGTGACAAGCAAATCCGAAACCGGAGGCCGCCAACCATATATATATATATATATATATATATATATATATATATATATATATATATATATATATATATATATATATATATATATATATATATATATGCTTGGCTTGCTGATCTCGATTGCTTCGTTGGTGCTGAACTGACGTAACTGTTCAAGGGCAGTTGTTTTGAGCCTAGCGATCTCTATGGCTCTATCCCAGGAAAACTTCGGGGGATGTTCCAGCAGTAGTATTGCTCTTGCGTGATGGTCCGTGATGCTGGATATTACTTTTTGTGTAAACATAACCCCTTCAACACTATTCGTTTGAATGCTGGAGTAACCTGGAACCGCGAACCGACATGTCGATCTCCTTAGGAGGGCGTTCGGGATGTTCGACCTCTCCATCTTTCTCCATGGGCTCAATGACTATTCGAGTCCCCTGGTTAAAAGGCGATCTGATTGCAATGGAGACCGCGCAGCGAACGGCAACCAAAAATGTAATGGGATCATTCTACCTGTCATACCAACTGCGGATGAAAGTCCTGGGCGTGTACAGTGTCTACGAGACGACCTCATTCTGGCGTAGCAGACCTTGAAAAACCCCGGTCACGCTTGCCACTGTCTCCTTAAACTTAGTCGTAACATAAAACTGTGGGGACACCATCTGAAACTAGTCACTTAATACAGTCTGCTGGAAAACCACCAGAATTAATATTATCTTCGAAGTTATCATGCGTGGGACGCACTTTAGATCTTGGTCCTATGTGAGTCAACTTTACCCATCTATGAAAGCGACTCGACGACACATTATTCAGCATGCATTAGTTCATTTGATTTCTGTTCATCGAGTGACAACAATACGCAGATACAGGTGGTGCTCACCAACCTCACGAAATCGAGGTAGACAGATCTACCGTTGTCTTGACGTAAATAGTGAGTCCACAGATGCGCCTTCCACTTTAGTGTACCTTTCATAGAATTGCGTAATCCACACACATCATTCCACGGAAACTGTCAAGCCCTGGCTTCTTTTATTCATAGTATACCACGGTTCCATTAGTATCAAAGTCCTATTGGCATTTACGCCATAGCAAAATGCGTCAATTCTTTAACCAGGAACTACAACTGACTGTCACAAATACGTTCCGGTGACTGCATTTGTGTCGGTGACGACTAACGGATGCATCAACTATTGTGACACTCGCTGGCGTTGAGGTAGAAACGTTTGTTGGCCAATCACCATACCTCGGGCCCGACTGCAAGTTCGCATATCTTTACACGGGGGGAGTAGAGTTAATAGTGAGCGACAAGTAGGCTTTTCCGTTTCACACCAGGTCCCTTGACCTGCGATCCAGATTAGATTAACTATCGTTAGCCATTCACACAACGAACACTCCAAACAACCGACGAAAGGGGACGTATTATTCAAACGACCGCTAACCTTATAGACAAAGACAGGCGCATCTGTTGACAAAATCTGACCCACAACCGGAGGGCGTGACCCGCTGGCTGCTTCGCTTGCAGATCCGACAGCGATCCACTTTCCGTTGGGGCTAAACTTCACCGCGTGGGAACCACATGTGCGACGAGTGCGCGCATCACTTCCAGACACAGTGACATCCTCCGGCAAGAGCAACAGCTCGTTGGTTCCGGAACCGATGAATTCGTTCGGAATGCGACACGGTTGATCCGGGGACCTGCGCCATAGCTCTGAGTCGACGCGATGAATTGTGGCCTCGGAGAAGTCGGAAAACTGGTCCTCTGCTTGAGACAGACTCTGTTTGCTGATTTGTCCACCGGCGTTTTCCAAGTTGGTCAGGTTAGTTAACTGTAAGAGCAACATAAGTGAGAACAGTATGTAATAAAACGATTGTCTCCTTCGTGTGAATATTTGCATAGCTGTTGACTGATCGGAATAAATAAAAACGGCATCGGCAGTACGCAGGTACACCGTATCGACACTTCGTTGCAGCGCAACCACCACCAGTCGCGCATGGGTTAAGGATACTATGAGAGTCGCCCGGTTCTCTACACAGGCCCGGGCTCGAGACATCAGGAGTACTATGTAGGCTTGTGATCGTAGAGGCTACGGGTCACCAAGAATAGATGAAAACAACGGGTAAATTGTTTATTATCTAAGATCAAGAGCTCTTAAATAAATGGGATGCTTTCTGGTGTCATACCATGGCATACGAAGTGCCCTTTTGCGTGGGATTATGCCGTATAACTTTAAGACTGACATGTAGATACAAGGTTGAATTAGAAGATCGCACTGAGTATTCCGTGTGTTTTAGTGCTTAATCTGTGGTTAAGCAATATCACTGCCCTAATGTACCTATGCTTATAGCCCTCTTAATTCAATGTTTTCAAAGCACAAGCCAGCAAGGTTGTCGCTCTCTTGTACGAGCACGACAAGAATACGTTTCTGTACCTTTGCATCTCGTACTAGTGGTCATTTCTGGCACCAGCTTCTCGTTTTACTGATGGCGCCAAACTAATTCGCAGTACGGCTATTACACTTTTCCGGGAATCGTCAGCATTGCGCATGTCATCCGGCCCCTGTGGGAAAAACCGACAGTTGCCAGACCGTAGTTACTACCATTGGGAAACGAGGCATGGTAACCGCCGACGTGGCTAAGTTACTAGATGCAATGTAGCTGCGATCACTCGGTAAGCGCTACCCTGTCCTCTGCACGACAGCAACGTGCAATGCAATGCATAGTGAGCGCGGTAATATGGCATCCAGCAACTTATTCACTTCGGTCCTTAACGTCACCCGTAGCCCAAAGGCCATCACTGCGGAATCTGGACCCCCAGTGCTCAGTTGGAATGCGCACTGCTGATGATTCAAGAAAGAATGAAACGATAGTTCAGCGCTTTGTTAAGCACATGATGGCTGCCTAACAAACTCTACATGTGGAGAAATTCTACTTATATCACTTAAATTCACCTCCTACCCCATGTAATTCAGTTTATCCTCATGGCGCCGAATTCCAACTGTGCTCGTTCTGATTCAATATGAATATTGGGTTCCGAAGCGTGCTGACCCCTCACTTGCTTATCTCTGCAGCCCTGGAGGGACCACCTTCAGTTGTCCATCGTGCTCACTCGAGATTTCTGAGTGACCCATCGTGTAGGATAAAATTTATCACTACCAGAAGCGGTGCACAAACGTAAGATTGTGCTGGAAGGCACAACACTGTCCTGCATCTACAACTATCCGAAGAAATGCACATAATTCAGCACACATTCTGTTACGCAATTCGTATTTCCCACAATGCGCAATTAGCATGGATGTAATACATGCGATCTCATCGGTAATCAGTCTCGTTTGTTGGCAGAAGTAAAATGCAACGCGCCAATGTAGCAACTGTGCTGGTTGATCACTCTGATAGTGGATGCAAAGAGTGAAGCACATAGAGAGACAACCAATCAGAATCGAGGACCAATGGTTCCGGGTAGACAGCTGTGTGAAGGGTGCGATAATTGATGGTGGGAGTGAGTTAAACCGACAGCGGAAAACGCGACGGATTCGTTGTAGGTACCAAGTGAGGTAGAACAGTCTCAGATGTAAGGTGTTAACATCCACAATTGTAGCCCTCGTGAGTATCGACTTAGAGGCATTTCTGCATTTCTGTAGTCTTGGCTGTTCGAAGCTTACTGAAAATGCACCCAGCAATGCAACTTGATTTCTTGTCACGCAACGAAGCGCGCTCTGTTGGTTCACTTCATCAAGCTTTCCATGAGATAATCACTCTTGACAAAATCGGGATACGCGGAATGTACTAGATGCCTCGGCAGACTACCAGCAATGTAGAGCGATACTACACCTCCATCTATGGCACATATGGATAAATACGTTTTGCTTTTCTAGTAACGAGAACTGACGATTTCCTTGACTTTTTGGGCAAACATACACGACCTACTTGCACCACCTGATGAAACTGAACAATACTGCGCCCCTACGAGCTAGGAGTGGAAGTTGGTGGAGACAAGTGACCAAATTGATTGTCGCAGCGGCTTCTCTCTACATATACACCGACCGTCGAACGCGAGCACGTAAGTATTCTAGGCGATTAAACAGCGACCCTACATGACACTCACAACACCGTTATCCTGGACCAATCACCTCATTAAGGTGGCCTACTCACTTCGCGTCCTCACGTTTGACAGAAACCATAGTATCAACCTGCTCAGATGTAAAACCCGACACCTGATCGTAATTCACGCACACACACGCTTCCATCAATCTTCACTGCGGGGCAACAATTTGCTGTGTTTGTAACTCAGTGGCTGCGGTCTTCCGGATGATCTGTTCCGAAGACTGCTTGTCCCCACCCCCTTTGCATTTTGCTACCAATGCGCCAACAACCAACTGCGCTTCATCATGTACTACGCGACGAAATGCACTCAGTTGGTTGGAATCGCAACGTACTCTCATTCCGGATCGAGATCTGAGCTAACTCAGGAGCGAACACGCGCAACGCAATCTGATGTATCGTATCTAGTAACTGTCTCATTTTTGCGTATCTCGTTTCGATAATCACAGTAAAGCAGGAGTATTGTGCAGTGCTTGCAGCCACCTACTTCAGCATTCTCGTGCATTTTCGGTTGTAAATTTTCTATACCTTTTCTCAGCCAACTGAATCTATAGCGCTTTCAAATTCATCATTAAGAAAATCATATTCCGCTATAGATCATTCATGCTGGGCCATTACGCTTTCAATTCGAATCCAGCAGGCACGAACTCTCCAAAATGCTTCGATCCATTAAGTGAACAAATCCAAATAAAACAATGTCACCATATTCTGTGTGCTCATCTGGTATAATAGCTGCTTGATTGAGATTAGTCACTCAAGGCACAACATCTAAATTTGGAAGTGTTTACGCATGTAGCATGCAACATGAGAGCGTCATGGGCCATCTTGAGAGGGATTTAGATGCTTATGATTTCTTTGGGGAGGAATTTGGAAGCTTTATGCATTCAATTCGCTGAAATAAGGCATACTTGATCTAATCTACGCGGGGAGAGCCCAGAATTCAACCGGACAAAGATTAGTAAACGGGATTTGTGGGCTAATCCCGAAATCACACGGGTGAGAAAACATTCGTATCGGTAGGTAAGTAGATGAGCTTGGTGCAGCGGATCCCAGCAGTGTTGAGTCGGAAGCGCTGTCGGCAATTCGCGTTAACAAAACGATCGACAAAGCAGTAGGTTTCCTACGCGTGATCCCATGTTCACCACCATTCTGCTGTGATCACCCTTCCAATCGACCATATACACACACGCGCACACCTCCGCACCTCCACCCATTGATCAGCCAAATGGAGGCCCAAATGCTCACGTCCAACCGGTTGCTTTTTGTCGTTTTTCGAGGTTGACAGTGCCGTGTGCTTTGACAGCGCTCTAATCCGCCATTAAATGTCGCCTTGAGGGCACAGACACTTACGGTTTGGCCCCGTAGGTTTTCGGCGCCTTGAGAATAGCACCGTAGACTTTGGCTCCAGGTAACGTCGCCTGTTCTAACATGGGAATTTTCTCCAGATAGTGTATAATAATACAAGCGGTGAATCAGCGTTGTTACGAAGACGAACGTTATAGCTTTAGTGAGGAATCAATGGCCCGATTTCAAGACATTTTAGCAGGGTTTCCGCCTTTATTTTCTTCACACGTTACACGTCAGGATTCTTTAGCACATAAACACTATCATTGGATGCAACCCGTGTTTAGAATAATCCTGCATTACTGATCTGCAGGAAGATTTTAGATGAATTATTACCGGTTCGTCCCAACTGCTCACAAGTGCGACAACTTAACCACCAATCCAGAGAAAAGTCATACGATCACTTCGCCCTATCTGGGCTTGTTACTGGTGCGCATTCAGTTGGAACCTGTGACCGATAGCAGTTTGCGCCAACTAGCCAGCAACTTATGCCACTTAGGCACGGGGACCGAGGGCAGACCGTCGAAAACTTACAAGGTAACTTTGGTATAGCGCAATTTATCATCCACAGCCATGCACGGAACCAAGTTTGCAGAGGGCAACGGTTGGTCTCCGGTTACGACTAACACAGCACAGTAGCTATGCACTCCTAGCTTTTGGGGACTGTGAAGGAGTTTTTTTTATATTACCAAGACCAAACGCTCTGCTATGCGTGGTTGGTAACCTGCATGGCAATAAAGGATAGCTTGCGCTACATCATAGTTAACCTGTAAGCTGTGACGGTTGAGGCGTGTTCTCTCACTGCCATAGAACCAATAAACTCAAGGCTTAGATGAACCTCAATGGTCTGCGCAACTAGTCATACCAACTAAAACACAAGACATTTGGAGTGCATAGTGGGTACGACTGATGGATATGCGGTGGTCTCATGTTGTCATACTAAATTTTGTGTGATGACAGTCATAAATGGCACTAAGGACTAAAGCACTGTTATGCCCCCAAAGTTCATTAGTGTAGTTTGCTTTATTCTAGTTGTAGTCGCCTTAGCAGCTTGCATGCGCACCCGCTTAGTGACAGATGGCGAAGAACGTCGCAGCTGTGGGTACCAGTCTTGTCCTGTGTACCTCATTAACCTGCATGATGTAGGATCAGCCGCACTACATCATACTTAGGAATCAATCAAGTAGGTGCGCATCTGTCACCAGTGGCTACGTGACATAGTCCGCTGTCTATTATGAGGAAAGCCACTGTTTCGGATCCTGCAATATCCGGCGAATGTGAGCTATTGGCGAGTCCTAACAGGATAACACAACTGCCGAGCTTTTTCCGAATGTGTCGTGGTTATGTGACAACGTCTGACTGCAATGAATTTTCACAAAATCAG